AMCCAYGAAGAACCAAATTCCACGTTGCTAAACTTCTACCAGGCAGTTCATCGAACAACCGCATAGTTGGGTTAAGATATGAAGCTTGCAAGTACAGATCAATCAGTGCGGACCCTTTACGTTGAACCCAAGCAAAACCACTCTGCAATGAGCTTGAAGGCCTTCTCAGTAGAACCCAACATCACTGCAAATACCCAAAACTAAAGAACATGTGGACGGGCTTTCTCTAAGGCCTCGAGAAACCATTTCTTTGAAGAGATGAAGGGCCAGCTCTGGAAACCCATGGCGAGCGTGACCAGCTTTTACCAAGTTCCAAGAGATGATGCCACGGATGGGCATTGTTTCAAATATCTTAACGGCTAAATCAAGACGACCACATTTGATCAAGTTATCGATCGTTCAGTTCAGTTGTAGGAGAACACACCCTCATGATAACTTCCATCCAGCTCTAATAAAGCAAAAGAGAAAGAAGCTCGGGTTGTTATTTTCGGTATAACAACGGTGACAATCGATCTAACAAAGCTTAATAGACTTCTTGTTTGCAATCACATTGCTTGCAATTGTAAGCGCGCCTTTGGTTTTGAATTTAGTAGATAGGTTGATAAAAGAAAATTAAATTATATTTCAAGGGCATTTTTGTCTTTCCATATGCCATTTAACGACTGATTAACGGCAAACATCAGATTGTCGCGTTTTAAAAGTTCGGATAGTAGATTGTGGTAGTAATTTGGAAGTACAGATTAACTATCGGAAATTTTCAATAAATCTTTTATCGGTTTCATGTTTTAGTAGATTATATGGAGTGATTGTGCATCTTTTCAATCCTAACGTGTTTGCAGCTTACCCAGGTGAAAGTGTTCACATGGAGCCCGTAAGACAGGTGTTTGAAGTTCGGTTCCTCTCTGACCCAGATGGGGATTTCAACTGAGAACGTCATTGGTTGTGGTTTTCTGATCAACTTCCATTGATTTTTATTTTTTGGATTTTAATGTCATTTCTGGAATTTGAATTCGTATTGATATAGTTGACTGGTTTTCATGTTTTTTCTTTCTGGTTTATGTTTAACTAATCATCCTCTCATTGTCCTTTTCTCTGCAATTACATTGACATTTTCTCAACGCATTCATCTGAAATTTTTGGGGATTATTTTTCTTTTCTTTTATTACTCTACTTGGTTTAGTATTACGGGACTGATTTTCCCCATTAGATTTCGTTTACTATTCTTTTTATTACTCTACTTGGTTTAGTGTCATAATTCCATTCTCCCTAACCTCTGCGTGCACAATTCAAGTGTCTCTTCATTAATGCATACTCTTTCTGTTTTTGCTTATGATGTGGATCCTTTGGTGATTCCATACTATTTTACAGAGATTCTCTGTTCTATTACTCTTTTTCCTTTATGTTTGATACTGTAGCTACTATTTGGTAATTGCACACTAGCAAAAATTGGTTCATCACAGGGGCTTTCGAGATCGTTTAATATGTTTGATGTATTTGGTTGCAGGAAGTTGTGTAGAACGGACTGTGCAGGAGATCCGGACTCGGATTGAATTCTCTCTCATGAGCTCCAGTCAGAAAGACCTTTTCAGTTCGACTGTTCGAGGCCTATTTGTCTAAGCTGCAGATTAGCAGTTCGAATTCACCAAATACTAATCATTGGATCAGGATTGAACTCCCATGGTTCCAATCTACATTTCGAGGCTCGACCCTAGATTCCCTTGTTAGCTCGAGCTTTTTGCAACATTAAGCTCAGTTCATTTGGATTCATGAATGGCCCATCTCAGGCTCTATCCAAGTCCAGATACATTTTTATTAGTGCATCACAATGTGGGGCTCTCCTGCAGTTCTACGCCACCACTCGATCTCTTACAAACACCAAGCAACTCCATGCACACACCATCACTTCTGGGCTTCTCATGTCTGATCACTCCGCGCGTCTTCGCTCCAAACTGGCTGCTACTTATGCATTTTGCGAAGGCATCAAATATGCCCGTCGGCTGTTCGAGGATTTGCCTTATAGAAGCTCGTTATTATGGAACATGATGGTCAGAGTGTACTCTCAGAAAGGTTTATCAAAAGATGCACTCACGCTGTTTGTTGAAATGCTTGCGTCTGGAGAACACCAACCCGATAATTTCACATTCCCTTTTGTGCTCAAAGCCTGCGGTGATTTATTGTGGCTTGACATGGGTATGTCGGTTCACTGCAGAGCATTAGCAACCGGGTTTGGTTTAGATACGTATGTTCAAAACTCCCTATTGGCGATGTACATGAACTGTGGCGAAAAGGAGGCTGCCAAACGGATTTTTGATGGAATGGTGAAGCGAACCGCAGTATCTTGGAACACCATGATAAATGGGTATTTTCGGAATGGGTGTCCTGAGGAAGCTTTGATGTTTTATGATTGGATGATAGACTCAGGTGAGGAACCTGATCCTGCCACTATGGTCTCGGTGTTGCCAGCTTGTGGTTATTTGAAGGATTTGAAGCAAGGGAGGTGTATTCATGAATTGATGGAAGTGAAGAGATGTGGGGCTGCCATTTCGGTAAGGAACTCGTTGGTGGATATGTATGGAAAATGTGGTAGCTTGGATGAGGCACGAATGGTTTTTGAAGAGATGGTTGAACGGGATGTGGTCTCATGGACTACCATGATTGGAGCTTATGTTCTGAATGATGATGCAAGAAGTGCGATGGCACTTTGTCATCAGATGCAGGTGGAAGGAGTAAGTCCCAATACTGTGACCTTGGCTGTTCTCCTCTCGGCTGCTGCAAGTTTATCTGCTCTGAAGCATGGTAAGTGTTTACATGGAAGGGTGATCAGGTGTGAACTTCAATTGGATGTTACTGTAGAGACAGCTTTGATTGACATGTATGCAAAGTGCAGCTGTATGAACCTCAGTTTTCAAGTTTTCATGAGCACTTCAAGAAAAAGAACGGTCCCATGGAACGCAATTATTTCAGGGTATGTTTATAATGGACTTGCAAGAGAAGCAATAGAACTTTTCAAACAAATGCGGATGGATAGGGTGGACCCTGATGATGCAACTCTGATCAGTATCCTTCCTGCTTATGCTGATCTAGCAGATTTGCAACAAGCAAAGAACATACATTGCTTCCTAATCAGGTCTGGTTTCCATACAAGAGTCAAAACCACTACAGGTTTGATTGACATCTATTCCAAGTGTGGAAGCTTAGATTCCGCTCACAAGCTCTTCAATAGTATACCCAAAAATGACAATGATATAGTGTCATGGAGTGCAATTATAGCTGGTTATGGAATGCATGGACATGGTGAGTCTGCCATTCAGCTTTTTGATCAGATGGTGCAATCCGGATTGAAACCAAATGAGGTCACCTTTACCTCTGTGTTGGATGCATGCAGCCATACAGGTTTGGTGGATGAGGGACTTCGTTTGTTCAAATGCATGATCAGTGATTACCATATGAAGCCTCGGGCTGATCACTATACTTGCATTGTTGATCTTCTCAGCCGGGCAGGTCGGCTGAAGGAAGCTTATGAGTTGATCAAAGCAATGCCTTTTGAGCCCAATCCTGCTGTGTGGGGTGCTTTACTTGGTGGTTGTGTGATTCATGAAAATGTTGAACTAGGAGAAATTTCTGCAGAGAGGCTCTTTGAACTAGAACCAAAGAACACAGGCAACTATGTGTTAATGTCAAAGATCTATGGTGCTGTAGGAAGGTGGGATAAAGCACAGAATGTAAGGAATATGATGAGTGAAATGGGACTACAAAAAACACCTGGTTTCAGCTTGATTGAGGTTAGAAATGTGTTTGATGCACCTAAGCTAACCACTTCTATGAATGGGAGTTTCTCAAATGTTAGGCAGAAGAAGCTGACCATGAATCAGAATGCTGCCAAGTAAACATGGTTCATCAATCAAGCGTTTGCAACAATGAGGTGATGAACAATAGAGGTCTTTGTGGCAAAAAAAGTGAAGAGAAGGGCAAGCGACAATGGTTAGATGGGGTGATTCCATTATTCCATGATCCAATAACAATTATTCAAGTATTCATGCACTAGAATTTGTGGAATACCTAAAATATCAATGCATCACTTCAGGACTCGGAACTGAATTTTGCTGCCAAGATATTCCTATCATCTATACCCAAGGAGACAAGATGTCACTCTGTAGTCATCAATCTGGAGGGTCTAAAGTATTCGTCAAAAAAAAAAAATCAGGATTGTTTTAAGTGCTAGGCAAGCCCTTTGATTGAACAAAGAGCGATTGATTGGTCAATGCAGGTAGGTAGAATAACCATCAACCAGTTACCACTTCTGTGCAAATGAAAGGTTCTCAATGATCATATTTCATTTCTATGCACTGCTACAAGCTTTCTGACCATTGCCTCCTCAATTTATAATGTGCTCATTGATTTTGACAACGGATCGACATGCATGGTTATAAGTAGCTGCAACCTGCAAGTACAGGGCATGTGCGGTCACAAGACAAATAAATCTCGCTGACATTGAAAACACATTGGACTGTGTTTCTTTTATGCTCTTAATCTTATTACATTGAACAACTTTGTAAAATATTTCGCTTCAAAATACAGATTCAAGATTTCTCATATTTTTGCCATTAGCCTGCTTCCAGGATTCTCATCCTTTCTGGAAAGCAAGGAATTCACAATGTCAAAGAGGGAACCTACAGGGGGGAGGCGTTAAAAGTTGTTATTGTATTTACAGTGGAGAGATAGAAATCTAAGCATTTCAATTGTAAACACCATGATGCTTATAAGAAAGAATAGACATGTTATTCTGAAATGCAAACTGATGAAACAAATATCTTGCTGAGAACATTTGCAAAAGTGAATCAAACAAGACAAAATGGTGAATTGTTACTGTAATTTTGGATAGTTCCTAGACACAGTACCAATCAATTTGGTACATCTAGATTAGACAAAATCAAGTGGACAAATATAATTATGACCAAAAAGTAACTGGAATGATGGTTTTAATTATCTAAAAGGAAAATCCGAGTATGGATGTCCGCCTGTCCCCAAAAGCACAGTCACCTTCTGCAAATATGGTAATAGATGGGTAGAGATAATAATTTGTCATGGGTGATGAATGAGAACTTGTATCCCAGTTACAATATTGCTTGTACTTCATGGTAAGGTCTCATAAAAAGGAATAGGGAGTATGATAAGAATTCATACTGGAATTCTTATTGATGACAAAATTACAATGAATTCAAAATAAAGCTAAGCTTAGAAGATCATTATCAGTCCCAATTGTTTTCTGGATCCAACTCAGCCAACAGAAAAGGGGTCCCCCTAATTAAAGAAGTCAAGAAAAAAAAAGTGGGGTTGGGCATATCCCATCTACGGGCTTCAAAGAAATGAAATACTCGGTGTAAGCTAAAGCGATATGCAGTTGACGAAATAACTTGTGGTTAATTAATTACAAAGCTGATAAAAAAGTAATTATCTAAACAAAATTTCTATTTGGATGTAGATTTTTGGATCATGAAAAAACATACAACCTTAAATACACCAAAAGCTATGAAGGTAAAATAGGGTTTGCTAACCTGTTTGGTAAGGCTTTAGCTTAAATTTAGCTGCTTAACAGTAGCAGCTGGAAAAGAGTTGTGTAACATTTAGGGGCCGTTGATAACAGCTAAAGTTATTGAACTGAAAAGCTTATTGCTTTGTCATTCTTTGTTTTAAGGACTTATCTCCTTTTTGCTGTTAAAACTCAGTGTTCATATGAGCATTTTAACTGCAAAATGGATTTAAGTCCTTAAAATAAGGAATGCAAAATGCATCCTTACTGAATAAGATTTTAAGTAGGTTTGGGGCTCCTTAATGGCTGAAGTTTAAGTTGCGTAATTTGATATAATCTAAAATATTTTATTATTTAATTATTTTATCCTCTAAGAAACCAAGCAATAAATCGTCCAGTTCAGTAACTTCATCTGTTATCAAACGGCCCCTAAGTGAGCATATGGATGCTTTAATTTTGTCACATATTTATCTATCTATCTATATATATATATAGACAGTCCACATCATCATGCCTCTCCTTTCTCCAAACTCCCCTTCCTAATTTCCTATTTTTTATTTTTTTTATTTCACATAATTACCCATTAAACCAATAAGGAAATAACATAGGCTTAACTATTTCTAACAACCATAAAGAAGGAGGGATTTGCTTTTCTAATATTTAGCCAAGTGGCACCACTTTCCCCCATTTTCTCCTAAATTGTCTCCAATTCCTATTTATCTCATAAATTATCTCTAACTCCTATTTATCTCTTAGACTATTTCTAATTTAGTAGAGAAATTCTCTCCTAAACTATATCTAATTCCTATTTATCCTCTCCCCCACTTTTATCTACATCAATCTCACTAAAGTTTCAATTAAAAAATTTCAGAATTATTTAAATATTATAACGAAATTAAATACTAACTTTAAAATCTTTATTCAAAACACAAAAATTAATTATAATATATTTAATAATATTCATATTATTATATTTTTACAAAATTCATCATGAAATTATGTAGTAACAAAATAAATTATAATTTTATGAATTATTCAATTTAAATGTTTTTCAAGGATAATTAGATCCAAAGTCTAATTAAGTATCAAACTTTTGGAGTCCAATTATGGCTTTAGAAGATAGGGCCCAAGCTAAATAACCCCTAATAAGCTCAACTTGGAAGTTATATACATATAGGGTAAATATTATTATATAATATTTAAATAACAAATTTTATATTAATATATATAGAAATGTTATATATTTTTTATACTATACTAGAATTAAATAAAAAATTTAATTTGTAAAAAAATCATAGTTTTATAATTAACACGAGCCCGAGCCTGGCCCGACCATCAGGCCTAGATCTTGAGCCCGAGCCTAGCCCTTATATAAAGCCCGAAGCTCGAGCCTGAAGCCCAATCTATACACAAAATGTCTTATTTTTAGTATACTTTTATAAACTAATATTATATTAATTTAGTAATAATTTAATAAATTAATAAGCTAATTTATATTTCCTAATAGTAAATTGATATTTATTAATAATTTAAGAAGCATATATGATATATATATATACATATATTATATTTATTATATATAACATAAGTACTTTTTTATATATGTAATAGTATCGGGCCGGGCTTATTTGAGAAAGCCTGAGCTCGAGTCCACAAGCCTAAAAAATAACGAGTTAGGCCGGGCCGTCGAGCTACCTGGCCCATGAATAGGTCTGTCTATGTATATATAAACAATTGTACACATAAAAAATCGTATGAAATAAAAATTTAAACATCTTTTTTCATTTTTTTTTAAATGGACCTCTCATAGTTTGGCCCGGTCCACGGCCTATCTTGGGCCAAGGCTTGGCCCAACACGACCCAATTTACACCTCTACTTGAACCTGCCCAATATTAGGGACGGGGCGGGGAAATTCGAGGGTTCCCCATCCTTGATGAGGAGTGCGGTGCCTTGCCCCTAAACTCGCCCGGCATTGAGGAGTGGTTGCCTTGCATTGAACCCACTTGTCACTGGGGACGGGGCGGGGATGGGGTTGAGTGTCTTGATTATCGAGCAGGGACATGGATGGGGTGCCCCACCCTAAACCCACCCCGTTTTCATTCCTATATAATTGTTAATTATTAGTGAAATTAATAAAAATGTTAGTTTTTATAATTATTTTTATTTATTTAAAGTTAATCCAAACTTCATTTAAAAATAATAAAAATTATTAAAATTACTGTAAATTATTAATAAAACTAAATTTATTCAAAAATATTTGTTCATATTAAATTAACAAAAATTATTTTTCTGTAAATCAACATTAAATGAAAATACAATTATTAAAATTTTAGATATTAACAATAACTTTGAATAGTTTTAGTTAATTAACAACAAATTTTGATTATTAATTTAATATTAATTAATAATAATAAAAAATATTAAATCTTTCAAAATTTCCCCCATTTTCTCCTAAATTGTCTCCAATTCCTATTTATCTCCTAAATTATCTCTAACTCCTATTTATCTCTTAGATTGTCTCTAATTTAGTAAAGAAACTATCTCCTAAACTATATCTAATTCCTATTTATCCTCTCCCCCACTTTTATCTACATTTATCTCACGAAAGTTTCAATTAAAAAATTTCAGACTTGTTTAAATATTATAACGAAATTAAATACTAACTTTAAAATCTTTATTCAAAACACAAAAAATAATTATAATATATTTAATAATATTCATAGTATTATACTTTTACAAAATTCATCATGAAATTATGTAGTAACAAAATAATTATAATTTTATGAGTTATTCAATTTAAATTTTATTAAAATAATAAAAATAAAATTTAACATAAAAAAATAAAACATTATTTAAATGTTTCAATAACTAAATATCATAAATGAAAAACATTAAAAATAGATAAATAATAATATAACAAAATATTTAATATTACATAATAACATTAAAATAAATAAAATTCAAATAATGAAATTTTTTTAATATTTTACATATTMTTTAAATATTTAAATAACAAAATATTTAACATGACTAAATCTATATTAAGAATATAAAATATAAATAAATGAAAAAATAAATATTATTTAAATAGTGGAAGTAGATTAAAAAACTTAGAGGTATTAAAGCTTTTTATTAGTTATTTATTGTATTTTCGTTATAAATATATTTTTCAGCAATTGTGTATTTTTGCTATAAATACACTTTCTCCTAAATTGTCTCTAATTCCTATTTATTTCCTAAGTTATCTCTAACTCCTATTTATCTCTTAAATTATCTCTAATTTAGTAGGCAGATCCTCTCTTAAACTATCTCTAATTCCTACCCACAGCTTCCTACCCACGTCCTTACCCACTCCATAAATTTTGGACACATGTCCACTAGCATTTGCCTCTTCTTCACATGTGCAGAATTCAATGGGATGTAATGGGACAGACGTTAAGTCCATTCCATCAGAACTCACCCAATTATTTTTTTAACCAAAAAATAATTAATCTTTCCCCTTCCCAAGAACCCTAATAGTTCGTTCTCTCAATTTCATTCTCCACAGCGTACTATTCCAGGAAACTTCATCGGCATCCTTTTCTTTCCATACTCCTCCATAGGTTAATCTTTTTTTTCTATTCTCCATAACATCCTATTCCAAAAAATTTCATCGACATCCGGCAACCCCGATAACCAAGGACATGTTGATCACCAATACACTAGTGGTTAAGCAACTTCAACTAATCAAGGTTCAAAATATCGATACGCCCGATATGCCGGTATGGGTGTATCAGGCGAATCGATACAACTTTTGATTCTTTTTTTTTAATTTTTTTCGCAACCGGTTCAGGGAGGCCGGTTTAGGGCTCCTCCACCCCCTGAACGGTCAAACCCCCGATACACCCACTGTAGGGGCATATCGGAGGGGTCCCGGAACAATACGTATCGACCGATACATGTCAATACTTTGAATCTTTTAACTAATACAAGAAGAAATTGAGCATTATTTTTTTTTTATAGTTCTTCCAACCAGGTTCTTCTCATCGGTAATTATGCTTTGTTTTATTTGATTCCCTTATT